CAGTAATTCCAGGTAGTTTATGTTAGGAAGGAATACGTGATGCGAACAAGCCAGGACGCCATCGCCGCGGCAAGCGATTCAAACTCACCCGCCCTAATTGGTGCGAACAGAGAGCCAACCGGGAGAAGCGGCCAATTAACGCGAGGGCGGCGTTCCTTGATTTGCTGTAAGTCAACCTTTCCAGAGCTTTCCACGTTCGCTTTAAATACCATTCACGAACTTGCCATTTCACCTTTATAATGAACGATGTGATTCGCTAATACATCCCTGTCCCTCTGCTCGTCCGATCCGATATTCTCTGTCCTGTGGGGGACCAGCGACTTCGGGTTTTGCTTTGGAATCAAGCGTCCATTCAGGCGAGAGAGGAACACCTCAGTTTATAAATGAGTTCTTCTACCTCATCCAGTTTAATAAGGTCGGTTTGTCCTCAGCGGAAGACCAGAAGTTAGCAATTGTGTTAATGATAGGGTTTATCTGGATCCCGTCGCTAATAGTATGTGGTAACGAATTCAAGCAAAGCACGCCCCAGACCGTAGTTAGGCAAGAAGAAGGCAAATTAAGAAACAGAGTGTATTGGGCGAAGCACTGTAACATGGCTCACATGACACAGAAGTTAATGAAGTGAGGAACTATTGATTGGTCAATGCGAGGCAAACTAATAAGAACCCGGCGTGGCTGAACTAACTAATCAATATCATCGACGGATGTAACAAGTCGATGGCTCGAAGAATTTTGACGTAATTATCAAACACTCACTTTCTCAAGTGACCGATCCAGAGTGTAGCTCGGCCAACTGAGTCAAACAACCATCGTTGGCCGGCCGTACGTTTGATGACGCTCGAGTATTTGGCGGAGTGTCAAGATGTGATCGATATAACTCCGGCCGGAGCGGAACCTTGCTTGCTCTTCGCCTATGTTCTGTTCGCGTGCCAGGCGGAGTCTCTTTGAAAGCAGTACGGTGCGCACTTTAGATGCAAAGAAGATTAGCTTAACCCCTCTGTGGTTAGCACAGTCTTCCCGGGCATCCTTTTAGAAGAAGGGCACGATATCCACTTGACTCCCATCGGACGGGATTGCTTCGGTAGTCTAAACATTTTGGAGGAAGGAAGTTAACTCCGGAAAAAGTAACGGGCCTCTAACGCTGAAAAGAGCCGGGGGAATTCGTCCGGACCAGGGGCTTTGTAGTGTATAGAAGGCGAAACTCATGAGCAACCTCAGACTCAGGTGATGAATCGTCTACACACCAGGGAGCACTTCGAATTCCCAAATGAGGGCTCTCCGGTGTTCCAGGCCAGTTGAACTGCTGCACAATATGTTTAGCCAAACGCACAAGTCGATCCAGTTGGTCGTGGATTTGCTCGCCATTGGTTGTGCACAAAACCTCACTTAAAGTCGGCCTGTCGCCAGTGGAGCGAATCAGGTGGAAAAGCTTTCGGAAATGCATCGAGCTGATCGCCTGTTCCACATCACTGACACGGTTGCGTCCACCAGGCTTCGCGATCTTGCCGAAGGAGCTGTTTGAGTTCAGCGTTAGTGGTCCTGCGTAGCGCATGATGCTCAACGCCAGCTTGAATTGCGCGACGAGCTTCCAGAAGTTAGAGAGACTGGGCAGAGTTCCAGTGGTTCACAGGACTATTGGTGAAACCACAGACCAGGTTTTCAGAGTCAAACATGGCGTTGCGGATGTGTGCCCAGTGCGTTTCAACGGCATAGCATGCGGCGCTCTTGAGATGTGAGGCCAGCGCATCCTAAAACGCGTTAAGAACGCTTGGAATATAAAGTTTAACCACGTCAAGCCGTTACGGGCGGCATTATTTTAAGCCATCAAAACGTAAAGCGACCTTGGCACACACGAGCGCGTGCTTCGGAAGTGAGGTAAGTACTCCATATTGATTTCCAATACTGTATGCAGCCTTGCCAGCGGTAAGTGATGTCGATGTGGTCAATCTGAGTCCATAGGTATCCAGGTGACGGTAGCCTCCATGTCGCGCGTAGGCGCCAGGATCACAAAAAGCTAGTACTCGATGGGAATAGTCCGTGGTCGGCGAAAGCCGAAATAGGCGGTCACCGTTTCCTGTTCTATGAGTGCCGAAGCCACGTTGATCGCCGAGTTCACGCTCTTCAACCTCAAGTCTGCCGACTTGCGCGTTTAACACCCTTGCAGGCACTACGATGGCTGGACGGTGCACTTACCGGGGAAAGTCGGGCAGTTAACAGTAGAACTAGTCTTTAACTGACTCCAGGCTGCAGTTTGTGGGAGCGTATACTGCTACAACGAACAGGCAGCGTCTTCTGGCTCCACGACTAGAAAGTTGCACTTAGGTCTCAAGTCGGATCGCGCAGAGTCTACTGTTAAGAGGGATCCAGTCTAGTAGCGCGGCCTCAGCGCATGTGTTTAACGCAATTCCCACACCGACAAGATCAGCATCTTCGGCGGTTTCGTCTACAGCTAACCGCAAGGTGAAAAAGCCCGTGGAACTCGCCGACAGCGAAACCAACCGTAGTGTCGTGCTATGGTCCTATAATCGGGTTTCAGTGAAGCAGCAGACATCGATACCAGTAGTCTCAAGTGTGCGAGCAAGGGCTGCTTGTGATCCGATCTGCATTAGGGTCCGGAAGGTTGCCGACTTGAATTGGGAACGGGCCGCTGAAAAGGTTTGTCAGTACTACTTAGCGACGCTTCCTTGTAAAACTTGGTACCGCTAAGCATGTAACGCACGCTTCCGAGACACGTAATCCCAGCACGCAGAACACGTGTGGACAGCAGCAGGTTTATCAATCAATTGAAGAATGTATAAGACTCACGGAACTCGCGTGGCGAGACCGGGGGCGTGCATCAGATGATTGGCTAGCTGGTATGAGTGGCAGCCAATCCGCGCACAACTGAATGAAACGGATCGAAGTCATTCGCGTGCGTGATACCTTGAACCTAAATTCCTGATCCGTATGGCGCGAACACTCGCCCAAGGAGACACGGTGTTGCACATTCGAAAACGGAGGGGGATTATCAACGATAGGGGAGTTGAATAAACGTGGAACAAAGTAACCGAACTGTGTTACGGTAGGGCGCGATATAGGACGTTCGGCCGCCAGTACCTCGGCCGAGGATAGTGTTGGTAATGAGCAGAGAGACAGAGTGCAGAAATCCGTTGAAGCATTAGTCCATAGGGTGTGGTCATGTGGCATCCGGCTTTCCTAGGCCCAGGAAAGGCGTTGACCTAAGGGACCCAACCGGGAGCCTTTGGTCTGAGGAAATTACTCGCAAGGCAACGGAGAGATTGACCTATTTTGCATACGGTTGGAAGCCGGCTACCACGGTAACAATTACACGGATTTCGGGCAAAAAGAAATTGCTCAGGCTGTCCAAGAAGCCCGAGTGAATCAGCACGATGACCACGGGAATTTTCCTGGACTAATGTACTCGCCGAAAAGCATGAAGGCCGTTAACAGCCAGATGGCTAGCACGCCTGGTAACCACCCCAGAACCCCCACGCTCTAAGACGCTTCCGCTGATTGGCCGCGACTGCTTATTCATCTGAGACCTATTCACAGTTACCTGCGCAAGGCAGACTTTCCCCGATCCGCAATCTGGGGACGCGCCCAGTGCCCTACGGTTCCGCCTAACCAATCAGTAATCAGTTCATTTACGGGAGCGTAACATGACAACGCCACAGGGACCTGTTAACCTTGGGTTTTTACCCGCATTAAACCAGGGTTCCATTGCACTCTCAGTCCTATGAGTTGTGGAATTTCGACACAATCCTCCGCTGATTTCTTCTGCAGTAATCAAGGTGAGTTAAAGAAAGGAAAGTGGCGAACATAAATAACCATTATATAGAATGTTTGAAACAGTACGTCATTAGAGCCGGGCACACCCATACTTCTGCGGCTCATCACCTGGCGTGCTGACATCTATGTATTCCAAAACGGAGGCGGTCCTCAGTAATTTATTCAGGGAGACGCGAAACTATGCATTATTACCCACTGCCATAATGTTTACCGTTAGCTTGTCCCATATTATAATTATCTGTAGAAAGAGGGGCTATAGAGAACGGTAGAATAAGAACTGCAACCGCTGCTGAGGAGTGAACTATTTGTTCCCAGTTTTGACGAATGTCATGATATCTACTTGCAGTTAGGCTGCTACTTCAGCAGAGTACTCTGTTTATGATCAGCCGTCTTTCAGCAGGCTGTACTTCTAGCTATCGATAAATATGAATTGTCATTAACCTGCAAATGTCAAATGGCCATTCAGTTTTGAAGGAAACTGTTTCATGGCTGGGCACCGGTTTCGGTTAGATGTGATTCCGATTTCTTGGTAAAAGTAAAATCAATAAAGCGGTGCTCCAAGTTTCGTCAAAAATACAGCCGATTAGTCATGTCTTATTCATTGTCGTGCTACTCACATCGTCATCCAGTGTAGCGTGCAATGGTTCGAGCTGAAGCAGCAGTAGGTCCGATGAGCTGCAAAATGAGAAGAAATGTTAGTCTTCGGAGTGACAAGCATCACAGCACGCACGGTAGATTGTCGGCCGGTGGCCGAGTGGTCTGCGCGTTTGGTTTACAACCATAAGGTCACCGGTTCGAATCCGCGTAGGGGTGAGCGTCCTCGCGGTATACTTAGCCCGCGCGCGACGTGGTGGTCGCGTGGCAGCGAAGCGTCGTTACGGCGTACAGCTGACACATTAGTATTATTATTAGTAATATTATTATTATTATCGGTAGCGTCTAAAAGGTTGCATTTAACAGCACTACCATAAAGCAGCAAAGTTTGCCATTCCGGAAATAAACATTAGTAAGCTGAAGACGAACTGGGAGATGAGGGGAATGTGCGAAAAGAGTGTAAGAAATGTGGAAACCAGTTACTAAAACTATAAACGTCGAGAACAGTTCGAATACATGACACGCGACGTGGTCACGTTTGTTCACGTGATTGCCGATATATTTGAAACCAGCTGTACTTACTGGTCTGGGAACATTAATGCGGCGTAGCCCGTGTAATGTCTAACTGCTCTTTCGTTAATACCCTCCCAGAGTATGTTCTAGATCGGACAGTTATCATAAACGATGCACACGAGCATCACGTAAGTGGCTACAAGCTTGCCAAAGCAAGTGAATACTTTAAACGCCAGCTTGTTGAACTGCGCCAATGTGAATTAGAAAAGTACCAACGCAAGGAAGAATCTGATGAGGTTCGACGTCAGAATCGGCGTGCAAGGGCAAGGAGTCTATGTGAGCTGGAACTTCAACCACTGGTTCTGAGATACCCTGATCTATACGGCCTGGAGTGCGTTTTATCCTTTATACACTGCTGCGAGAAAACTCGAACCACTACTCTGAACACACGATTGAGTACCAGTACTGCCGGTTCCATGTTGAAGGCTGGCTTGCATTTTCAGGTGCCCAGTTTCGTCAGCCACTGCCTCGACCTCATAAAAAGTTCTTTAAGCAACGTCACATGTTGGCGTTACTGGAAGTTAGCGGAAGAGCTAAACTCACAACTTCCAGAACTGCATGTCATGACTACGCGCTATGTGTTAGCACATTTTTTGGATGCTGCTGAGACCGAGGATTTCTTGGAACTGACAGCAGACGAGCTGAAAAAGCTGCTCAAAGAAGATGCACTCAATTGTACCGATGAGAAGCGTTTGTTTTCGGTAGTTGAACGATGGTTCTATCACCGAATGGAAAAGCGCAAATCCCGCATTCCGGAATTGCTTGAGTGCCTTCGACTCGGAAGATTGACACATGAAGAACTTGAACAACTCTCGACCAACCCGCTTATTCAAACGACCTGGGCGGCATGTAGTCCGATCATTTTAATGTCTCGATTCTCTGTCGAAGAACTTAGTACCAATCCAACCGGAATTTTAACGAACAAAGCTGGGGATGAAACTGAACTTCATGCCTATCTGAGGAGACCCCGACTTCCACACTCAGCCATATTCGTTGTCGGGGGCTGGGAGGGGAATCAGGACGATCCAAACTTTGGCCCCTCAAAGGCCATCCAGGTATACAATTCCAGAGCTGATACATGGCGTCGCGTAGTCACAGATGGTATTGCATTGGATGAAGGACATGCGTACTCTGGTTGCGTGCTCTACAAAACCCGTATTTACGTCATTGGAGGTTATGTTTCCAGTGGACCGACTCAAACACTGAAGGTATTCGATTTGACAAACCTCACATGGAAATTTTTATCCCCTATGCACGAAAAGCGAAACTATGTTTGTACCTGCATCTTGGACAACGTAATCTATGCTATAGGTGGGCACAACGGTAGACATAGGTTGAGTTCTGTTGAACGCTACGATGTAGATCAAAATCACTGGGCTTTTGTATCACCCATGCGACAAGTACGTAGCGATGCCGGTGCGGACGCACTAAACGGTCGAATCTACGTGATCGGTGGATTCGATGGACATCATTTCTACGACTCTGTTGAAGTGTACGACCCCAAAACAGACCAGTGGTCCGCTGTAGCGCCAATGCACAATATTCGCAGTGGAGTTAGTGTAATTGTCTTTGACCGTTATTTATTTGCAATCGGAGGGAATGACGGACTACAACGACTGCGGACCGTCGAACGCTACGACCCAGAGACAAACCAGTGGCAAACAATGCCGTCAATGATACGCCAAAGAAGCAATTTCTGCATCGCCATTCTTGAAGGTATGATCTATGTGATGGGTGGATGGAGCGATGAAACAAATTCAACAATTGCACTGGTCGAGCGATGGAAACCGAACTTGATGAGTCAATGGGAACCGGTACGTGAATTGTATCTTCCGGCGAGTGCAAACTGTTGCTGCTCTGTTTCGGGCCTAGATTTACTTTCGGATTTTTTGTAACTGAAAAGCATTTAGTCGCTACATTTATCACTTTTATTGACCCGATATTCTATTATCATTTGCGGCTTTGTACATCTAACAATATTTCTATCCTCATTCCACATGGGTCACTTTATGTTAATGCATTTCAGTCATCGTCGGAAATAACGACGGTCCGTGCCACGTACTAGTCTCCACCTACTGTGTTGTGTGTCGCCATTATGATCAGGTCTCCGTTGCGGTCGTAGACGTGAACGAGCTCACGGCCAAACTTCATCTAACAAACTCTTCGTAAAGTTTCCTAGTCATGAGAGTGAACACATTTTCCTCCATAAAACAAAGGCCCCGAATACAATGCAACAAAATTGGCGAGCATATAATGATGGACCACGGAGGAAGCTGTTAGTTTAAACTTCACAAGTCGGTACTACATTCGACTGAGCAGCAAAAGTCAAGCAACTGGAATTTTATTTGTCCTCCTGTTTGCATTAATCATTCGCTTAGGCTGAATTCTTCCACACACAGTTTATCGTTTTTCACCGGCAGTCAGGCTACCCAATGAGCAATATCTTGAAGCTCTGGACTTGTTCACTATCATCGAAGCCTGTTACCAGTTTATAAACACTGCAAGCGTTTGCTTTCGGGGCGCGCGAAACCAAGTGTGTGCTGGTCATCTGTGGTCCTGAAAATCATATCAGCCTTTGTGTCAGTTTGTGAGTTTCATTCGTTTCGCCATCATATTGAATGGCTCAACTTGTTTCGACTTGCTTGTTTTTGCTGTAGCTGAGTCGACAGTTCATTACAGGGTATCGCATGGATCCGTATGTTTACTTAGCATGGATTACAACTCAGTAATGAGTTGTCTGCGAAACGGTACATTTGGTTTCGTCCACCCTTGTGTCTTCCTAAACGGTAATACTGCCCATATCAGTTAAAGAGGGTTTACATGGACCAGACAGGATGGCATGATACCATCTTTAAGTGATTGTGGACTCATTCCTGAATCTCGGCCTCTCGAATCGCGAACCATCAGCTAAACGAAGCCCGATATCTCTGCATAAAACGGCCGCTAACAGCCTGGGTCATTGGTTGCATTTCGTGCAAAACACTTGAGGGATTAGAAAAGATATGAATGTTCAACAATGTACCGTACCAAACAACGGGTGAATAGCAGCAGGGTGTATAACTGAACTGCACTCATTGTTCAAGTCACTCTACAGTAATTCTGATCATGTGGTGGACTAAAGAACACTCCCAAAACGCCGTAGAGGTGGCCGTCCATGTGAGATAGTCTTACGGTGTGGCAGGGAATCGCAGCAACGTGAATGCAGCAGTCCATACTTGGCGTCAAAGTTCACATTTTAAAGCATGTCACAAGCAGTATTATTTTCTTTCGACTACAGCGACAGCCAATTTTATTTGCGTTTTCTGTAAGGCTGCATTTGAGATAATGAAATGTCGTTACATATGGTGAACAAAGAACGCCGACGTCGGAACAGATGGGGATTTCTCCGGACAGGTGCGCAGGTTAACATCGAATTCTGAGTGATGATAACTATGCGGTTCTGATATCCGAGTATCGTAGTCAGATGGGTTGATGAAACCGGATCCTAGTATTCCTTGAACTAAACTTCCAGCTTCGATGTTGTCGCTATGCGGCGTAGTTATGAACTTGTGCCACACTTAGATAAGGTTATGCTCGTTATACAAGTGTAGGGAACATAACGAATAGATAGCAAAAATTTTTGACGACGGTCAATGGCACATACATTCAAACTAACATATTCAAAGGCTCGATTAAGTCTGAATGCAAAGTGCAGTTGGCCAGTCGCCTCGGAGTGGATATCCTAGTGGAGTGGCTGAATTATCTCTAAGGCGATACGCGCTAGCATATTGGTTAGAAGTGGGAATATTAAGCTGAACAGCAATTGTTACGCAATTACCAAATTTCTAAACCAGAAAACGAATAGGAAACAGGAGGTCTGTTGTGCTCCTGTATATGGTTCCTGGGTGTATTAAACAAATTAATTAGGAAAATGGCTGAAAAGGCGCGCAAGCTTAGTCGACGTCAAACAGCTCAAAAGTAATGAGTGGCGAACAGCTGAAAGGTGCAAAAACAGAGCTACCCTACGGATGATTTCAGATAGTAATAAGAAACCGAAGTAGTCCGTGTATCAAATGTTGGGCAATTATATATGAATGACGTTTTCACACTGCGATCGTTGCAACAACAGCATTATGCGCAAATCATGTCAAACGAACCAGTGTTCCTCGACTATAAGATTCTGTTCGATTCAGCTGTACAGCCCAACTCGTTGGACACGCTTGTTCAGACTGGTGCTCTCTAGACTCATGTAAACATTTTAAGTGTCAGGCACTCGAAGAATTCTGAAGACATCGTGGTGTCTCCGGAGAACCGATGAACAAAAATAACAACTACCGGTGAAGCTTTTCAGGGATCAACAAAACCGTGGAACGCTGATGTAGTACGGGTGAAAACTTAGGTGCTTAATACGTTTCGTGAGACGGTCAGCATGAAAACCACAAAGAGAAAAGATAAAAGCGATAAAATAAAAGGCGTTTCGACTAAATCACCATAGTGTTCTTACGGGGGCGGTCGTGAAACAGCCTACCTCGATCGTGGTTTGCAACGCAGGGTGGTGCATGTTTTCCCACGTTATATCGTCTCAGGATGTATACATGCCATATTTCGTAATGTAGGCGGGTTAGGGCAACCTCAAGACGCCATTTAGTCACAGATAACGAGGGAAGTAGAAACAACGTAAGTAGAGAGAGCATTTCATGGCAAATCGCTAGGAAGAGAGCAAAGTTTTGGTGACATTTTAGCCAGCTGTACTGTGTAACTGCTGCGGTGTCTGCTAACCATACGGATAATTTGCTCTCATTGCTCAACATGGACCGGCCGAATTCTCAGATCCGAAGACAAAGGCCTCCAGTGAAACCATGTGTTGAACAACCGGCAAGCAGCATGTAAAAGTAAACACTCTGGTCAAATCAACAGTTCATAAGAGAACGAGCACTCTGAAATTTCTTGGAGTGCAGCACCAACTAGATGCCTGTTATTGCACTTGTTGGTTGCCGGAGTAATACCTTCACTGTCAGACATCAAGGCAGATCCCTCGCATTGGTAACCTTTAAGGTGAAACCTCATCACTGGCCCCCTCTCAGTAGCTGGCCAACAAGCTTCGGACTGCGTCAGTGTCGTACTGCTCCAGGCCGCCAGCTAGTCCGTGCTAGTCGAGCATGCACGCCCTCTTGGCTTCTTCGCTTTTACTCAGCCGCAGTATGCTGCACAAAATTGGATCCATACTTATTTACAAGCTCAACATCGTGAGACCATTTTCTCGAGAACACTACAAGTGCATCCCACAATTACCCTGAATTATAAATTCCGGGCAGATTTTCACTGATATACAAGGGCAAAACTTTGCGTAAATCCACCCATCGAAAACATTTTTGGTCCACGTCAACATAGCATTAAAACGGTTTTTGAACAAGCTAGCACTCGTCCAAGTTCAACATTGTGTGAGGCAGCTACAGGTCTCTCGATACTTTCACCGTGGGTGATTCGGATGCCCGGCAGTGAAACGCTATCAAGCTGTCGTATAATCTGCCTCCCGAACATACTGATGCATTCAAAGGGAGCGCCAACAAAACGTCTGTAGACAAGACAGCAATACAAGAGTGAAACAACCCGCGCAAACTTGCTTCCAACATGAGAACAACTGATGATCATTAAGGTCGGTGTGATCAATTAGCCTGCAGACACGATAACGGTATAGACTTGCCGCCCCACCCGCGATCGCAAGACGCATGAACACAACGCATAACACATGATGAGCAAGTCATCTGACCGGGAGCAGACGATCGGCGACTGAGCGCTGGTCGGCGGTGAGGCGTTGCTAACCCTCAAACCAGGCAACGGTGCTTCGGCCAAACTAGCCACGACACCTATATCCCGAAACGAAGTATTTTGTGCTAAGCAAACATATGCTAGGGCAGTCAGGTAGGACCAGCAGGTTCCCACTGTGATAACCGCTACCATCCGGAGTGCGTCAGAGTCCGTCGAACCGAACTGAAGAAATATAACAGTCCATCGGGCTCATTTTGATCCCGCCCTAAGTGTGCCATTGTTCAACATGTAAAATTTTATTTGAATTAGCCCAGAAGTACGACGGTCTAGTCACAGAAACTGAACGTCGTTTTAATACGAAAGTGCTTCGTTCGAGGTGACAACAGCACAGCTTGCGCCTCATCTGTCACCCGTAATCGCGACATCGAAACGCATAAAAGCGGCCATGCCTTCCCACGGCCTCGCAATACCAGAAAACTTGGGAACCACAAACCATTGATTCTTCATGAACAAGCCAAGCATGCCCGACTCCACCAACCACATCATCTTATCCAATGTATTGACTGATGCAACATCGGTAATACCGGCACTTTCGATTAACTGACAAAACGCGTAACTCTCTAAAGACCGATTCAATTATGCAACCTTTGCTGCTCGATATAATCAAAGTGCGACTTCAGTAACATCACCCACTACAGCCACAACACCGGTCAACGTTCAGGTGCAACCCACAAAGACTTCACCAAAGCTACCGATAGCCGTGCCCCCCACATCCTCGAAGACCAGGCGGCAGTACGGTTCCTGACGCTCAGATGTACCAATGTTCATGTGTTCAGGGCAACTCATTAAGGGGTAAATAGCAGGATGATTTGAAGCAGTAGAATTTCCTTTGTTATCAAATCGGAATTCGAGCCAGACCGAGTAATTTAATGCGCATCACTAGAGATCCAACCTCGATGTGCTACAGTCAGTCCCGGCTAATACGAGTGACACGGATCCACAGATTATGTCGAGACAGTGCTGTTGTCGATATTTCGCCTGCGGACTGAAGGCAATGGGATACGCATATTCCCGCACGTTCCATGAAGCGAATGCCAGCAACCCAAAAATAGCTCAAACGACTATCACGCGCAGGGTAGCAGTAGAATCCGTTCACAGCATGCCGAGCTGCTGGCACCTAACGATGAAGAATCCCATGCTCATGACCTGGACGAATGGCGGTACATCCGTGATACTCTCTGTGCTGGTGACGTCCTACGTTGGTCGATTATACGGTTACCCGTGTCGTCTAACTTAAACGGCAGTGGTCCGATGATA